CTATTTCCTCAATTTAACTACATGGCCCCAAAGGAGGAAGCATATTTCAAAATGCAAGGACCAGAAGACTTGCCAGCGTCAAAGATGAAGGAAGCAACAAACAGGTGGGTTCCCGAAGCTCCGTCTTGTTTTTGTTTTTTTTGTTGTTTTTTTTTCACGTCCTTTTCTCATTCAAAACTGTATGTTTCACATCGTACCTCGTGTGAGTTGTAGCTCTAAGGTTGACAGTCGCATTCAGAGCAACTTTGAGGAAACAGAAGAGGCGAGGAAAAGCTAGTTAGGTCTGCTTTTTGACACCGGAGCGATTGTTTGTTTGAGATATTTTGGGCTCCGACCCGCGCCTGTGATTGAGAGTCACGACGGTGGAGCACACGTGTGCCCAAACCGCCCTGTCTGGCCCGTGTTTGTGTTTGTGCCACCGGTTTCCGTTGACTGATTTATGGCGTGTCTCCGAGCCCCATTCGGAGGAAAGTGCCTGATAGGAGTAATTCTGCGATAAGTTGCTGATTGTGTTGAATTGTGCCACAGCTGCACATGCTGAAAGTGATGTATTTTTTCTTTTTTTTTTGCTTCCAGACAGAAAGACAAGGAGAGGAAGAGTCGACTAAGCCTTTTCCTCACCAAGTCTGGCTCTCATGAAAACGTCAGTCCCCATAAAAAGACAAATACGGAGTCCAGCAAGTAAGGCAAAAGCCATTAATTTCCTATACGGCCAGTGTTGTTTGGGGACGAGCATTACTCATTTGGTGACCTCCATTTGCTGCACCCTCCATGACTCACTGCACACGTACAGAAATATGACTCGTAGACATCTCACGAGAATCCTAAACATTTTCTGCTGCATCATTAGGAAAGGGCCTGACTGCTTCTCTGATTTTCTTTCCAGCATCTCACCGGAGGCGGCTTTGCAATGGAGTGACTCCTTTGAAGAACTGCTAAAGCACTCAGGTCAGATGAACGCCTCCGAGTTTTTCCGGGAAAAAAAAAAAAACTAAACTAAAATGCAAAGTCAAAGTGCTGCCAAAAACAGCCTCACCTGCTGTCAAACCCTCTGATCCACTTGAATTGTGAGCCGCAAAAGCAACGCTGGAGGCAACGAGGAGTTAACAGAGAGAGAGAGTTTCACTATCTTTTAATGTGTGTTAGCACAAAGTATGATACAGAATTCGCTTCAACTTCCTCCTAATCCCACCAGTTGGTCTTCAGAGGCAGGCAGAAACACTGCAGAAAATGGTGGAACCTCATTACGGCTAATGAACGTGATAACGTCGCTAAACTGCTAATAGAGAAGGCATTAATTAAGTGCAACCACAGAGTTAGCATTAGCATATGAACAGATTGATTTTTTTTTTTTAATGACATGGCAGCACATTAGAAACCAGAAAACAACAATAAATTCTTCTTCTGTTTGATTTGATCTATCGCCGGGCTAACGTTGCTAACTTAGCATCACATTAGCTGTATTTTAATATTAAAACTTTCGGTATTTACTGGCCTGATTTTTAGCCATCTTTTAGATTACAATGAGAAAACGTTTCGTCCTTGAACTAATTTCTTGTTAATTTATCGTCTTATTCTGATGAATATATTTTTTGGCCTCATCTTTATCTCTGTTGTGACAGTCTTTTTTGCCACGTCGCTAAACTTGGTTTTCTGAAAATCATACTACAAAGAACACGGTCTTAAATAAATCAGTTGCTGAAATAAAGGCATGTGTTTGATGTTTTCAGATGCCTTAAAGCTAGATAATTTAGCATTTTTTTTATATAATTGGGATCATTTTTAACACTTTAATCTGTTGTAGGTAAACCTTTAACTAGCCGTTAGCATCTCTTCTGTTTTATGTCTGTGCTCATTTTTTTATTTATTTTTTTTTATTTTTTGCTAAGCGCAGTAGGATCCGCGGGCCCTGCGGTGTAATTATGCTGATATATTTGCTAATTTGAACGTAGCGCTCGGTCTCGCCGTTACGTTCAATTATGTGCGCTTAATTAGGAGTTTGTTTCGCCTAATGTTTCAACTGGGAGACAAATACATCATTATTTTATCAAATGCGAGCCGCAGTTCACCTGAGGTCCTCGGGTCTGGATCATTCACAGTTATCTCTCACTGTTGGTCTTTACTTTTTCCCGTCCTTGTCCGTTGCAGACGGAATGCGAACCTTCGCCGAGTTCCTCAGGACGGAGTTCAGTGAAGAAAACATCGAGTTCTGGTTGGCCTGTGAAGACTACAAGAACATTGATTCGGAGACAAAGCTGCTGTCCACGGCCAAATATATTTATACAGTGTTTATCGACGCCAATGCCCCCAAAGAGGTACGACACCACACGTTTATTTATCGCACGCCGGACGTAGCGTTTGCCATAATAGGCCATAAAGCCGAGCTGAAAAGTCCTAAATTACCCTTTTGCTGTTGTAAATATGACTGTGGTTTTTATTTGTCACCGAGGCGCTGTTGAGCTTTTAAAATATTTACAGCCCTGTAATGAGAATAAGAGTGGGTGAGGTGTGAAAAGTGAAAAGTGCTGCGTGCGGACTCACGAGCCCTGCAGGCCGTTTGACCTTTGTGCATCACGGTTAAGAGCAGGAACCGGCCCGTGTCACGTGACGCAACCGCGGCTATTTCTGCGCGGCGGCGTCACGTGACCACCGCGCAGTTTGGTTTCGGAGCCTGCAGCGGATCTGACTGTGAGAATGTTTGGTGTCAGATCCGAGGTTTTGACTTTTCTATGCACAGACAGCGAGCGATTCACCCACTCACTTTTTAATTCATTCTTTTTTCTTTTTTTTTCTTCATCATTTCGCAGAGAGGTTCAAGTATACAGTAGCCGCATAAGTTAAAAATACTACGCTTAAAGCCATAGCACCAAACTTATCCAAATGATATAGTTTCTTTATATTATCATTATACTTCTGCCTTTTCCCTGCAATACCCACGTTTCCCCAGTAGATGGCGTAGAAAAAAATGATAAAAGCATGTTAGCCTTTACGCATGACTTTTACATGTCATTTATCTTAGTTCACATGTGGCCCTAGAGGAAAATAAATGAAAGTTAGCCTCAGAGAATAGCCTGAAGTAAAACGTATCTCTCAAAATGAAATTTTATAGCAATAAGAAAATAGCGCTAAAATTAGTTCGTATATACACAACTACGCTGCTCAAACTTAGTGATAGTTAAAAGGTAAAATAAATATTGCACAAATGGCTTGAAGAATGGGGGGGGGGACTGCTAAAGTACCCTCGGAATAGCTTAGCATTTTTGAAAAAGCTTGACGTTAGCCAAGAAATAGGTTTAAAAAAATTGAGCAAAATTAAATTATTTAACTGAGAGTTGCTTCATTGATACAAAAAAAATAAAAAATTAAACACTAAGTGTTAGTGATGCAATTTTTTTATTGTCAACATTCACGAAGTGGGCCGTATCGAACCCCCAGGCGGGCCAGATTTGGCCCACGGGCCTTATGTTTGAGATTCTTGAGATTCTCATTCCCCCAATTTTTTTTTCCCCCGCAGGTCAACATAGACTACAGCACCAAAACGTCCATAGAGAGGGACATGGTCCGTCCGACGAAGACCTGCTTCGAAGCTGCTCAACTGAAAGTCTACAACCTGATGAAAAAGGACTCTTACCCTCGATTCCTCCACTCTGACATTTATCTGCACCTCACCAGGCGGAAAGGCCCCGGGACTACCATGTTCCGCAGGAGGTCACGCTCCTGTGTGTTCAATGACCGGGGCGAGGCCTCGAGCAATCCCTCGGCCTGGTAGGTGTTGCACAACACACCGCAGATGCGCGTCGACGTGATTTCGGCTGCGTAAAAAAATGCAATACGTGGAGCAGATTTTAACAGCAAATTATAGCGAGAGTTTGATTTTTTTTTTTTTTTTTGACGTAATGTGAAAACTGTTTGAGAAGTACTGCATTAAAACTGACTAAGAATTGCAAACTTACAAACTTTAAAACGCGTAGCATATTAGTCGCTTTTCACAGTTAGTAAGTAAGTAATCCTCCTGGAACCAGTTTTCACACTGAAACAACGTAGCTTTTTTTTTTTTTTTTTTTTACATACTAACATTCCGTAATAGTAATAATGATGATTTGCTGTCGGCCGCCATCTTGTATAATTTATGTAGTGTATTATTTCAATCAGACTGCGTGTGTTGCCTTGCGGTTCATGCTGTACATACTATAATAAATGGACTCATAGAAACCCGCTTGCTTGACTTAATGAGACATTTGTAAATGTGACAAATTGGCGGCGCGACCCGCCATCGAACATTCACGGAAAACATTCGTGAGGCTCGTCAACGCTAACCACCGCAGCAGGGAATTATTCATGTTACCGGGTAGGTTTCATTCTTATGCAGTTAGGGGGAAAAGAAAGAAAGAAAAAAAACAAACTTCGCATCCCATGACATTCAAGCAGAGCCAGTTAAGCTCATTAACACAGATTCCAGTGTTTCCTGGCGCGTTCGGAGGAACAATGCCCAAACATTGATTTATTTTACCCACGAAAAAAGAAAAAAAAAAACATGGGATATTTTTACATTTTACCTTAATTATGCCTTCATCTGGACAACGATTCACCCAACACCCCTGCTGTCTTTCTACACAAATAATCACGACTACTGTCTGGCAGTACATAATGATGTGTTAACAACAGGAACAGCTCAGCTGCTCGGCCACATTCATCAACTGCCCGCTAAGAATCTGCAGGCCGTTTTCTCTTTTTCCTCCAAATGCTATTTAAATGTCTGCCTCTGAAATGAGCTGTTACGTTTGAGGAACTGGACTAGAGGAACTCTGAAAAGGGAACTAAAACGTTTAAAAAAAAAAAAAAAAAAAGACTGACCACGAAGATATCGACTTATTAAAACTAGGTGAGAGGGATTTAGTTCAATTAATAAGCCACAAATGTTGGAATTCAATACTTTTTTCTGGTTTTGAAATATCAAAATAACCGTTGAGAATTTCTTTAGTTCCCTTTTTTTTTAGCTACTTTTATTTTGCGTGGGTGTTAAACGTAGTTCTGTCTGACTATTAACCACTGTTCCTTCATCGACATTTTCGTTTTCCTCATGCTATCGTCATGCTATCGTCATGCTATCGTCATGCTATCGTCATGCTATCTTGCTACTTTTTCCTAATGTCTCCTTTTTATTGTCCATTTCCTCTTTTTCTCTGTTGTCGTTTTCCATTTTTAAATGACAGCCACTGTTTGGTGGTTTCATTTCTAACATCTTGATTGACAACTGAACTGTCTGACTATTTCAGGACTGAAAACTTCAACTAAACTAGCCCCTAAAAACGATTAGCGGCTAAACCGGATTGATTTAACAATAACCCAGGTCTAACTTTTGTAACCAACTGTCCTCTGCAGCCGGGCACTTGAGCTGCTTCAAAAGACCAGCCCCCTAATTCACTTTCAAATAAATAAGGCAGAGCAGGAGCAGGAGAGAGGGGACGCACTGAAATTCAATGCTGTCCCCAATTTCAGAGAAAGGTGAGCACATTAGGGGGGGAGGAAAAAAAGTATCATGAAAAACAACCAGAGCCGAGGAAGCCTACAGTGCCATCTTGTGGTTCAGGGAGGAAGTGCAAAAACGGAATAGTATGGTTGTACAGTAGTAGATGGAAGCACAAGGAGAAGAGTGAAAATGTGGCCAATATTTAAATCAGGTTTTCGAACTCAATAAATTGTTGGTTAAATGAATTAATTGGCTTTGCTGTACGTTTTACGTACTCAATTTCGCAAACTCAATTTCACAGTGGGCCAAAATTTAAAAAATGGGACGAAGACGTGGTACTTATTTCTTATTATGACTCTTTATCTGTAGCCTTTCCAGTTCCTCTTTTATTTCAATCTTTTTTTCACAGGTCAACAACAAAAAACAACCTAAAATGTATGCGCTATGACATAGCGCATACATTGCTAATACTACAAATCTTGCCAGTATATAGGGTCTATATATGGGGGGGGCAACTCTAGTACACATTTGATATGATCTCATGGGCCAAATATAATTACACCGCGGGCCAGATTCGGACCCCGGGCCTGAGTTTGAATCGTGTATTTTAGATGATATTAATGAATTTGTTTTTGTTTTCACCCCGGTTGAAACAGTCGAAACATCCCTGTTTAAGACATTGTGCAGCGACTCTCTCCCTCGAACTAAACACACCTTTTGGGTTTTCTCCTCCTCACACAAAGCCTTTTTTGAAAACCAAATTCCTCATCTCATCCCCGTCCACTCACATGCAAATCACAGCAGCCCGGGTGTTTTCCATCACCTGCTGTGATTTACATTGGTGGTTTGTTTGGGGCCAGTCACATTACCGGCCTCGGTCGGAAAGGTAAGGTCACAGTGTGTCAAGATGGACGCCTTTTATTTGTGCCAAATATATGACAAATATGTATCCACTGACGGCGGGGTCTTAGCAGTGTGGTGTTTTTTTTTTTTTTTTAAATAAAGATTAAGCCAGAAAATTCAGAAAACATGTAATAAAGATTAAGCCAGAAAATTCAGAAAAAATGTACTCAAAATACTCAACTGTATTTTCTGATATTGACAATATATTAGAAAAGGTTTCAATTTATTTCAATTTTTGTATTAGCCTAATGCGAAACATTAAGCCGATGCTAACAGTGTAACCATGACTTGGTTCTTAGCCCAAAAAATATTTATAAAAAAAATCATTTAAATTTCATATGTTTTATTTCAGTTGTACATCAGTTGGAAAAAAAATGACAAAAAAATGTACTAGCTGTTTGCACTGATTATTTGAGTTTGAGAAAAAAAAAATGACTCAGTTTTACTAATTCACTACATCCGAAAAGAATCCAGTCATGCCCTTATACCTACGAGACCGTTGTTTCTCAAACACCGGGTCGTGACCCTCAGCTGGGTCGCAGGATTATTTAGGGGGTCGCATCATGTTTCCCAGGAGTTTAAAAATAATGTCTGTTGACTCGGGTCGTGAAGGTTTATGACTTTGAAAATTTGCGTCCCCAGAAAAAAAAAGTTTGGGAAACACTGTACTATACTAGATCATTCAGACTCCAAGAAAAACAGAATAAAGTTTTATTTTGGAAGTTTAATGATCCAGAGTTCACGAGACCCACTTTTGGTTCAAGGTCAACAATAATGTCAAGTCCACTTCCGATCCTTGTAACCCTTGAAATGATTATTACCTGGTTTCTGTTTAACCGCACTACGTACGTGCAGGGTAAGAAAAAATATGAACCTCCTGCTCCGTTTACATGAGCAATGGTCATCTGCACCGTTTTTTTTTTTTTTAGTTGCCTGCAATTAAGAAACCACAGCAGAATTATCTTCCAGGTTGACTAAACGGTGCATTTGCATCGAAACCTCATCATTTTTTTAGAAGCATCGTCTGTCACGAAACAAATTTGGTCCAGATGGAAACGTCTCAGTGATCCACCGGGTCTCACTGAAGCTTTAAATTTATCGAACATTAATGACCCCCCCGAGGAAGAACTGGGACAAAAGGATGAAAAAAAAGAACTATTAACACTAGCGAGAATTATAGAATCCTTGCAGCTGTAAGTCCGGGGAGTAAAATATTACCCTGAATCCGGGGGATGTCAAGCTCATTACCAGCAGGGGGGGCCACATCAGTAATACAGTTCCCTTTAAAACACTGTTTCCCAAAGACTGGGTCACGACCCTCAGGTGGGTCGCAAGAGTTTTTTTTATGTTTTTTGGGGGGGTCGTCTCGTATCATGTTTCCCAGGAGTTCACGATCATCGCAACAGCTGTCGGCATCCAACCTCGAACTAGCTGCTAGCTTAAAAGCGCCCCCTTGTGGTTGTGTCTAATAGTGTATCATTAATAATAGCCTATGTATTTAATGTTAGCATTCTGTCCTGTGTTTCTGCACGCGGGCCATACAAAACGACTTGGCGGGCCACAGTTGGACCCCGGGCCTGGAGTTTGGCACATGTGCCCTATTACATAATCAAGGCATCACGTATCCATGTGTAGAAAAACACATCCAGAAATCCAATTGTCGGTAAATCAACACGGACTTTATGTCATTGTCACAGTCGTTAACGAGGAGCACGGCCGATATGCAAAAACGCAGGAGTCTTTCCCTTCAAAGTAAATTTGTGTGCGGCCATTTGTTTATGGTCAGTCCACTTCCTGAATCAGAACAAAGTATGTTCGACATTTTCCCTTCAATATGCAGCCGTACTCGCCGACACACCGACGTCAAGCTAAAAAAAGTTTGCTAATTCAATTTATTTTTTGAACGCAGTACAGAAAATAAAACGACAAAGTTTGAAAAACAGTGATACATAAAAAGTTGTTTTTTGTTTGTTTTTTTTTTCATTTTCAAAAATGGCAGTTTGATCTCGGGCGCATCCACCAAAGAATTGTTGAAGCAAGTATCTGAAAGGCTGCGTGCAGGTGCCAAGGATGAGACCTGCTGCTTTGTGGCTCCGTGCACGGTTGAACACTTCAACAAAGAAGCCAGAAATCGGTTTATTAAACACACACATTTATATTTCAGCAAACTGGTAGTTTAGCGGAGGCGCGATGGAACGCTTCCCCCCCGGCGAGGGTCGTGTCAGGAAGGGCATCTGGCAGGGAAACCTGTTGCGAATCAATCCCGCGGATCACCAAAAAAATCCGATCAGTCAAGGCCTTGGGTTTTAGAAATCGGATTGAAGACCGTGTAGGAAGGGTTGATGTAGATGGATAGATGGACGGATGGATGGATGGATGGATGGATGGAT